CAAAAGTTATACCAGTAGCTTTTCAAACCAGCAGCCCTACTCCAAACACAAGTGTTCAAAATGTTAAAATGATTCAAGTTAATGTTAACTTTATAATTTCACTATTTTTTACACCAAAATCTTTCAATACAATCATTCACATTAGCAAAATTTTAAATAATTAATTAGGGTTAGATACATTAACAGATATACAATCTCACTTATTTCATAAAATCAATAATCAATGAACCATCAGATATAAGAATAAATAAACATGTCACATGATTGTAGAGAATATTATATGCCTATTTATAAACCAGCTGTGGAATTGTGAATTAATGTGGTTTGAAAGTTCAGCTTGTTTACATTTGGGTGGCATAGCAAACTGCAAACATTGTATGTGTTTTCATGGCAGCCATGGAGACCAATCAATATTTACTTTTAAAATCCTCAACTCAGAACTTTTAAAGCCAAAGGGGCAAAGCCCACTACAGTCAGTATCGAAGTGTGAATAGTCCTATAATGGTCCTTGATATGGTAGCTATATTTTTGTAAAATGTAAGCCCAGTCTGTTCAGTAGTTTATGCGCCTATTAGTAATACACATACAGACAGACACCACTAGATTTTTATATAATAGTATAGATATGAATTTGAACGGATGGTGTTTTAGGCCTCTAGGGACCTCAAAAAAAAAAAAAAACTGGTCCCGCGTCCAGGTCTTACCATGAGTACTACGGTAATAGCTTATTCCCTATATGGGAAATTCGCTAAAAAGACACAGGAAGGAAACGGCTTTTCCGAGGTAAGATTACAAGCCATTGTGGAAGGAAAAAACATAGGTGTGCTATTCCCACATATTCTGACGTCACTTGGATTGCAAACAAAACATCACCTGATTGTAACTGTCAAATTAGTATGTATTTGTTTTGATTTGATTGTTATTGTTGTTATTGTTGTAAAAACAATAACAACCAAATCAAAACAAATACATACTAATTTGACAGTTACAATCAGGTGATCTTTTGTTTGCAATCCGAGTGACGTCAGAATATGTGGGAATAGCACACCTATGTTTTTTCCTTCCACCATGATTAGAAGCACTAACCCTCTTTTCAAGCTTGTAAGTAACATAGTATTTGTTGTCTATGCAGCTTGAATATTTGAGATATTTAAATGTTTAAAAAAAATTACAAATAAACAATACGATACGATATTTTATCCGATACAGATAAAAATCTATACATGTGGATACGATACGATACACGTATCGATACACCACGTTCCGATACGAATCGATACGCAGTATCGATACATTGACCCGTATCGCCCATCACTAAGCCGGGGTAATATGAGACATGAGGGGTAATAAGAGACAAAAAAAATGATATTAACACGTTAGCTACTGCAATGGTACGAAATTTTCCATTCACATGGACCAGCGACGCACATATGCGACGGCCGGTTTCCACCCATAGACTGCTATCGCATATATGCGACGGCTAGTCACATTAAAATAGACTGCCGACGCATATTTGCATCGGGGTTCTAATGTTTTTAAAATGCTTATATCTTTGTAGTGGTCTATTTGAAGACACTGAATACCCTGCAGTGGTCTACAGAGATGTCTGATGCACAACTGCGTCGCTTGGTCTGTGGATATGATGATTGGTGACGTCATATAATAGTTGGAAAAACTGGTCTTTACTTTTCTGCATCACTGTATGTATGTATGCAGTATGTACATGCTGCATTATCCCATGTAGCTTTTTTTATATTTGTTCAGTTATAAACTGTTCTTGAATAATCTGTTTATTTTTTACTTACTTTTACCTTAAAACACAAAAAAATGAACTGTCGCATATATGCGACGTTAAGTCTATTTGAAGAAAACTGTGATAATTTTCACTATTGTCTTCGCTGTAGACCGGGCGTCGCAAATATGCGACATTACAAAAGGTTATAAAAAATACAAAGAAACAAGAATCATTTATTTACAAACACGATTGTAGCGTATTACAATGTAAATGATCACTGTTTTACAGGTTTTTGCTTGTGGTCTGTGTGTACTGTTATCCAAGTGACAGCCGGTCTATGTGTAAGATTCAAATGTATACCTCGGTCTGTGGCAATGACCGCGGCGTCGCATATATGCGACGCTCAGTAGCGAACGTGTTAAAGGTATAAAGGGTATGATTAATTTAAAATAATCATATGTTGTTGTAGGTACTAAAAAAAACGGAAAATTCTGATAATATATTAAATAATATTAACCGTCATTTTTTATGTAAAAAAAATATTGAATTTTTGGCTTACCCCACTTGGCAAGGCTTTTGCTACCCATATGCAACCAATGAAAAATATGAGGGGGTAATAAGAAACAAGTCCAGAAAATTCTAAAAAATTTATTTTTGTTTCATTTAAATACCGTACATAAATTGGTTCCCAAGATATAAACGTTCGAAAAACAAAACCTAAAAGGTGATTGGTAAAATTCGTTTTGATTAATATTAAAGAAAAGAAAAGCACTAGAACCATGGGGTTGGAATTTTTTAAATCCACATATAGTAGGGCCTATACATTAAAATAATACATCAAAATAAAAAATAATATTTTCATTACTTGTTGGAGGACATTTGTAAACTCGTTAAAAAATGTGTCAAAATCTACGACTAAGAAAAAATGCCCTAAGACTAAATACTTTTGGGCCAACTGAATGGACACTTAGTGAGTTATAAACTATGGCAATTAGTAGAAAGGGCTTATAAAAAGAAGTTTAAAGCCTAAAAACGATTAAATTTATCTAAAAAATTTATTAAAATGAATATTTAAATTTGTGTCTTAGCAACGCTTAATTAATAGCATTAAAACAACACATTAGTCCCAGGGGAATGATAAAACGATAGTATTTTAACTAGGCCTATAGCATTTAGTCATGAGGTAAGTTTCCTTATTAAACCTTTCTAGTCCCTAGTTGTAAAGTCCTTTCTTCACTTTTTTGTAGAACAGTCTAATTTTATTTTGTTGTCCTCTCGAAATGGTAAACGGCCCATTTCCATGTAATTGAATTGGACCGTAGAACACAAACTTGTTTGATACAGTTTGAATGTCATCATGTACTGGCCACTTGAAGTTGTGTAGCACCTTCTGGAGGAATTTTACTTTGGACAGTCCTTCGTCTGGGAAGGACTCTTCCGACATGCCAGTCAAGATCGTAGTATACCGCATAATACATTTCAAGGTGGGGGTCAATGTTGGTTGGCTCAATTTCCTCAGGGAGACTTTCATCAGATGATGACAGTATGGGAGAAATGCCTCCTTCATCAGAATCCAAGCAAAGATTTGTACTGGAATCCGTATTCGAAGAATCACTCTCTTTAGGTTTGGCTATTTTGCCATCTCTTATTACCCCTCAATATTTTCAAAAATGGGTAATATGAGACATGGTCAAAATTCACCTTAAATTACATCTTGCAACAATTTAAAAATTTGATCAATATTTTCCATCATCTTGGTCACAAAATAACACATAACTGATGTCTCAATCTCTATCTCAAATTTTACAAGAAAATTTAATTTCCGTTGGTAAGGCATTTTTCAAAGGTTTGGAAAAAAATGTTTAACAGTAGGCCTAATATTAGACAAGTAAGTGTGTGGTAAGGAAGATAAAATGTTTAAAATGTCTATGGGTATTTTCTGATAATTTTAACATGATGTTTAACCCTCCGAGTGTCATGCGTCGCTGCAGCGACTCACGAACACTGTTTACGGCGAAGGCTCTATGACTGACAAAATCGGATTGAACTGGATCGAGTTAGGTATCGTTCTTTTCGTTAGATTCTAAGCTTTCTCCAGAGGTCTGTCTCTAAGCACTTTATGTTCTCCGAGCCGATCGTAATTGTAGCAGACAGCTGACGTGCGTATTTGTAAACAGGTTAGTTAACCTCGGACCGATGACTGATGTGTTTTATTATGTTTATCATTGTTTTAGTATTAAAAATCAAAAGTAGTGATATACGTGGTGCATTATAAGAAGATTTAAGTGATTTTGAAGGGCTGGTTGATGATCCTGAAGAAGTAGGTAGTGATATTGATGTAAATTATCACCCAGATTCCTAGCTATGGTTAGGCTATGCATTCTTAGCTAAATGCTATGTACTGAAATCTGTTTTTTGCCCATAACTTATTTGTTTGCAAATCTACTTCCTTATAGCCTATTATTATATATTTGTAATCCTCATAAAATTTAGAACAAAGTGGCTATTTTCAAATATTTATAGGCCTATAATTTATACAATTTCATTGAGCGCAAACTTATTTTTTTTTCAATTTTTCCAAAATAATTTTTATTTTTACCTAAACAATTTTTTTTAAACAAATATTCCTTAGGTTTTATGTATGATATTGAAGCCCATGATTTTCCAAACAAAATGGTATATAGAACAGTAGAATTAACATTGTTTTAAGCTTTTCAGATCCGTTTTAATAAAACCTTGCAAATGCGCCAAAAATAGGCGGACATTAAGGCCTAAACTATGGACACTCGGAGGGTTAAGTGGTTTTTTTTACACTGTCTCTTATAACCCCTGTCTCTTATTACCCCGGCTTCCCCTATCAAATTAAATAATCGATATATTCATTCGAATGAGTGTAGGACAGATACTAAAGTGCAGCCAAGGTACAGTAGGCCTAGCCTAATTTAATTTGATTACCGATATTGAAAAGTGAAGTAGGCCTAGCTTTTAAAGACAAAATCTTAGCTTGTTTTTTTTTATTTTAATTTAGAGTAACTTAGGCCTAGACCTAGGCATAGGCTAAGTACTTATTGACTGACTCTCCTGGTCAGTTTAACTTTACCAATCAACAAAATTTTAGGTTCATCATAAAATTTATGATGAACCTAAAATTTCATTGATTGGTAAACAAAATTAATTTAATGTAGGCTAAAGACAATAAAATTGAATCCAGCTTCAACCTTGGGGAAATGCAAACAAAGCAGTAAGTAGGTAAGTGTGTACTTACCTCTGCTATGTCTAAGTTAAGCAATTCCTGCCGGAGATTAAACTCATGATCATTAAGATAACTCATAATAAGTTAGTCAATCTAAGCCAATAGTGGCTTAAAGATATAAAGGGAATGACAAAGTTATTTGTTTGGAATACAATTTTACATTTTGGTAACTTATGATTACAAAAACTTAACCCTAATATTTTATGTACACAGTGGGCTAATATAATAGGAAAGGAGATGTAACGAGAATTTATTAGCAGTCTCTTCAGAAACACTTTGACACGAGTTTTATAAAAATGTGTATGATCAAAATAAATCATACAGAATAGCCAAACAAAAGTAAAGTACGTGAACGTGACAGCACAGAAAGAAGCAGACGATATCACTAAAAAAAAGTTCAGCAGTTCAGCCTGAGTTCGTTCGGGTTGTTCAGTTCTCAGTTCAGACTTGTTCTGTTCATAGACGAGTCGATTTAGCCCAAAAAAACCTCTAAGATAGAACAAATTCCAACAAATGGTTTTTCGACGGTTTTTGGTAGTAATAGGTGTAGAAAGTACTAGGAAAAAGTCAACCAAAATCAGACAACCGGAAGTCGGGTTTTTCCAAGATGGCCGCCGTGAGGCCCTCAAATCGACAAGATGACTGCAAATTCGTCGATTCATAGTTCCAGGATTAGCCGATTTCCACGAAAATTGGCAAACACATGTATAACTATTTAGTATATTGAATCTTTGTTCTGCTTCAATTTGTTACAGAGATATTGAAAGTAATAACTTTAGTATGTTTTCTTGCCGAGATAACTCAATGTTAATCTTATGGAGAATAAGCATAAATATTAATATTATTTTTCATGAAACCTATATAGATAAGACTTTTTGTTCTGCTTCATATTATCTGTTTTAATATTTTTTTACTAAAAATTCCTTTTTTGGCAGTTACCATTGCAGCAAACCTACGTATTCGGTTCCTTAGTCTTAATCATAAAGAGAATAAGCAAAAATCAATTTCTTATTAGTCCGAGAAGTATAGAATATAACCTTAAAAACAATACAAGAAAACGTTTTATGGTTTTATGTTGTAGTTTTGGGTGTGCAGAGTCGGAATTTCCCAACATTGGACAAATTTTGAAAAAAAGATACCATAAGCATTTTCTATGCACAATTTTCTAAATATTGACTTGGGACCAACGTCGATATTTATTGGGTGGTCAGTACTTCATTTCGATTGGAAACGTATTTTGGCCGCTATTTTAGATCCACCTTATTTGATATAATTTGTTGTTGTTGTAACGACAGTGTTGTGACATATTACTACTATATATACTAGATTTTCACGCATATTCCATTGCCGAAATCCGTTTTTAAATACATTTTTTTGTTTTGAACGTTTTGTACTTTGAAAATTTTTTAAGATTATTTTCCTTATCTTCAGTTAGTACCTAGTTCATTCTTAAATAATTAATGATATAAGGGCTTTCATTTGAGCTATTGGTCATTAAAATTGGACGAGTTAGAGACAAGCTACCAATCCCAACAAAATATTAAATTTAACTTTTTATAAATCAGTTTTTATTAAATGATTTATATCTCGGGTTCTTAATACGTCACCAAGTTCTTTCTGGTCGCAAATTACTCAGTAGAGAATTAGGTTTTTTTATTTTATTAGTCACTAAATAATATCTGACTAATTAATAAAAAATGAGTCATGCACCTTAATTTAATATTAAATTATTTGCATTTGAAATTTATCTTTAGTTAAGTATATATCCCCAATTCTAATAACTCCCAATAAATAATCCATAATTACAGTAAAAGTCAATACTTTGATGAATCTTTTAAGATTATAAAGAGCATTGGGAGTTATTTTTCGATTTGGGGGTATATGTCTTAAACTAAAGACAAATCTCGAAAAAAAAATATTTTTTAATAAGACAGACCCATATTAAATTTGTCACATTTTATTAAGTGATTAAAAAATTAACCCAAACATTTACTGAGTAATATGAAACCAGAAAGAACTTGGTGGCGTATTAAGAACCCGAGATATAAATATTTTAGTAAAAATGTATTTCTAAAAAGTGAAATTTAATATTTTGTTGGGGTTGGTAACTAGTCTCTAACTCGTAAGATTTTAATGATCAATAGCTCAAATGAAAGCCCTTACATCACTAAATGTTTAAGGCTAGAACGAACTGCAAGCGTTAATATGTACTGGAGATATAAGAAAAAATAATCTTAAAAAATTTTCAAAATACGAAATGTCCTTAAGAAATGTATGCAAGAGAATTTTTGTTTGAATATATCTTTAAAACCAAAAAAAGATATTTAAAAACCCATTTTGGCAATGGAATGGGCGTGAAAATCTAGTTTAAAATAATGTGTCACAACATTGCCATTACATTAAAAAAAATATTTATATCCAATATGGCCGATCCAAGATGACGGCCAAAAACACGTTCCCTATTGAAATGACACTGTCATTACATTTAAAAAAAATATTTATACCCAATAGGGGGATCCAAAATGACGGCCGAAAACACGTTCCCTATCGAAATGAAGAAATGACCACCCAATAAATATCGGTGGTGGTCTGAAGTCAATATCAATGAAAATGCATGTGGATTTTTTTTAATTTTTCCAATGTTGAGAAAATCCGTCATATTAAATCTTGATTCTAGGGGTTTTCCAGTAGACCGATTTTTGCCAATTTTTACTATGTAACTCTGCATACCCCACTACAACATAAAACCATAAAACGTTTTCTTGCATTTTTTTAAGGTAATATTCTATATTTCTCGGACTAATAAAAAAATTGATTTTTGCTTATTCTCTTTATGATTAAGACTAAGGAACCGAATACGTAGGTTTGCTGCAATGGTAACTGCCAAAAAAGGAATTTTTAGTAAAACAAATATTAAAACAGATAATATGAAGCAGAACAAAAAGTCTTATCTATATAGGTTTCATGAAAAATAATATTAATATTTATGCTTATTCTCCATAAGATTAACATTGAGTTATCTCGGCAAGAAAACATACCAAGTTATTACTTTCAATATCTCTGTAACAAATTGAAGCAGAACAAAGATTCAATATACTAAATTGTTAGTTTTTTTGTGTTGAATCTAATGGTGAAAAAATAAATTTGAAATTATAACAAACTTTGTACAAAATATTAGAAAAACATATATTTGAGGTAAAAAATCTTATTTTTTAGCACATAATACCCTGAAAATTCATCTTTGGGTTACTTTGTCTGCCTAGTTTTCATATTTAAGGTTGGAAATATAGTTCTACATGTGTTTGCCAATTTTTGTGGAAATCGGCTAATCCTGGAACTATGAATCCACGAATTTGCAGTCATCTTGTCGATTTGAGGACCTCACGGCGGCCATCTTGGAAAAACCCGACTTCCGGTTGTCCGATTTTGGTAGACTTTTTTCCTGGTACTTTCTACACCTATTACTACCAAAAACCGTCGAAAAACCATTTGTTGGAATTTGTTCTATCTCATGTGCCTATATTGACTCGACTATCAGTGTTCCTCCTTCTTCCTTCTTTGCCTTTACACTGTGTAAAGTGTCAACAATTCACAGCTGTCAGCTGATCGTTGATACGAGGCCAGCTCACTTGGTCTACGGAATTGGCACACGGGAGGGACTAAGGCTAAAGGTGTAGTGACGTCAGATCTCTAGTGGCTAATGTCATTGACTATAATATAACTGTTATATAGTCAATGCTAATGTCTTCTCTTGAAGCAACACGATTAAAGGCTGTCTCATGTTAAGTTGAGGCAGACTACCTGACCAAAGGGTACAGCCATGGTGGGTACAGCAGTACAATGGCTAGACTGAACCTTCGAAGGACCCTCCCGACCCTTGGAGTAAATCCCATTAACTACGCTTCACTGACTACTTCACTTAAAAGCGTAAATATATTGATTAATTGAAAATATAATCAATTCGTCATATCTGAAAATAATGTATTCTAGGTTATAAAAAGACCAAATTTTTCATGTTCGTCCCATGCAAATCGGCCGACTTTAAGTATCAAAACAAACTGCTAATTTGTCTCTTGTAGTACAAAATTAATTTATAAGTCTGTATTAATAGTGCATCTATCAATATAATTAAAATTAGAGTTTTGTCTGGTAGACTGTTCAAAGTTATATATTTTTTTGTTATTTTTACATTTTATACATTAAAGAAGTGAGATTAATAACCGTGTGGCTTAAATAACGGGTTTGATTAATCACAAGGGCAGTATATAGTTGTAAATTAAATCAAATAACTAGCCACCATCCATGTCGGGAACCGGAGAATCAGTGTGTATCAAGCTGTATCCTACTCGAGTTTTGATAACGGCGCCAAAAGCCTACAATCGAGGTTTCCACTCATTAACGGCGTTTCGAATGCTTATTTTTAAAGGTAAGGGTCAAGTGGAGGTGATAGATTTCTTCCCCTAAAACCGCCTAAATATTAATAATATTTAGGCGGTTTTAGGGGAAGAAATCTATCACCTCCTATAATATGAACGAAGTATATACAGAATATCAATTATTAGTAATTTAAAATTAAATATTGTACTTACCGTAGTTATAAGAGGAAAAGTTTGTTTTAATACTTAAAGTCGGCCGATTTGCATGGGACGAACATGAAAAACCTTGTTTTTTATAACCTAGAAACATAGAACATTATTTTCAGTTATGACGAATTGATCATATTTTCAATTAATCAATATATTTACTCTTTTATGTGAAGTATTCAGTGAAGCGTGGTTAATGGGATTTACTCCAAGGGTCGGGAGGGTCCATCGAAGGTTCAGTCAAGCCATTGTCCTGCTGGCCACATACAGATTGGCCAATGGTTTAAGGGTCTTTTCTAACATACAGATTGACCAAAGGTCCTAATGAGCAGGGGCAAAAAATGGGGGAGGAGCTTACAGCAGCGATGTCCCGTGGGGGAGGAGCTTGTCTATTCAATCAAGTGTTTGTTAACTTTTTCTAATCTTACCAGTCACAGAGGTGGCCAAACTCAAGAGACGAATTTTACTTTTTAAAACACTAAGTTTTATGTAAACTGTTAATCAGAATTCATTGTCCTACTTCTGGATATTGCTTTATATTAATTAAATTGTTTTTTTGCCTTACAATATCCTTATTAGTGTTGGTATCCTTTTTTATGTTGGTCGCCGCCGGCCCGACCAAACGCGTGCACGCACCGTGATGGTACCAAAATAAATGTAATGAGTTTTTTTACGTGTGTTCTGTGTTTTATGTTTTAAATTGATGACGAATCTGAGAAGAGGAGATGGACCGGAGGACGTGGCAGTCGCCACGAAACATGTAGTTATGTACCAACACTAAAACGGAT